AACTATTTTCAACAAAAACATTTATGAAAGAGTCATTCTTCTGTACAACCACTCCTTTATTGTCATTCCTAATATTTCACAAAGTACTCTTAATTTCCTTTTTATGAATGAAGCTGAAGGAGGTAACTTTTAAACTTGAGATATTTCTTAACATTGGGAAGAAAAATACTATTTTGCTACAACTGTTACGTGGTTACGTGTCGTGAGTGAGGTGCGTCTTTGTTCTGTGTTTGTTTCTGAAACCATCATAAAAGTAAAAAAAAAAAAAAAAAAAAAAAAAAAAAGACACATTAGGGCCCACAATTTGGACTAGTCAAAACATTGGGCAAAATGCACATTTGTCTTGGGCAGGCATCTGAGGGCTTCTAGTGTCACTTCTTGATCCCGAGATACGTCTAGAATCAAAGGAATACAAATTAGCAATAAAGGGTATAAAACTCCAGTGCCATAGTCCACATCGCTACACTAATTGAAATCATTTTCTCTAGCCATTAAATGTACTCTGCAAGATGAAGTAGTTAGGCTTTCACCATAAAACTAATTGGTAATATGGAAAGTAACTCAATTTCTTATAAGCCCTTGCAAGGTTGTCTTTTTACCGATATGAGACTCTTTTACCTTCACATCTTTACACACACCTCACATGTGGCGAATTCAAGCCAAACACACATATAACACAATTAGGGTGACATGAAGCACGTGTGACCGTCAGACTTCACATATGGGCCAACTTGCGCTGATGCCACGAAAAAGTTGGGGTTCCACCATAAAATCAATTGCAATATGGGGAGTAGCCTAACATCTTATAAGCCCTTACAAGGTTTTTCCTTTACTGTTATAGGACTTTTTACCTTCACATCCTTAGACAAGAAACAACCCCAAACCGTGAGATTAGTTCACCAAGCAAATAAAAACCCAAATAAGCTGGAAGCTCGTACTTTTGTCACCGTCTGGAGTCTAATCATTTAGCATTTAGTTGGGTTAGAGATGATCTAACAAAACACGTCCAAATACTTTTAAGTAATACTTTAACATGCTTATAAAAAAAAAAAACTAATTGCATGCAAAATGAACAGACGTGCTTTTTATAACCATCACAAACTTTCATGGTCGTCATCACTTAAGGTTAACAACACATCTTTAAGTATTTTTACTTGCTTTCCAATCAACAGGAAAGAAATATTCAAAATTGAGATATCTTTCAATGTCACGAAGAAAACTAGAATTTTGACCAATAGCTGGGTATTATTATTTTAGGTATAGAATTAAAGGAAAAGAGGACTAAGTTTAGAGAGTGACCATGCATAAAATTATGAAACCACTCCATTTATTTGAGGTTGTCCCCAAATCTAAATATCTAGCTAGCTGCTGGCTTCCCTTTTCCAAAAAATCAAATCCGTACAACGATATTTGCGGTAAGAATAAATGCAGAAATTAAAAATTTCAGACCAAAAGTGTGTATTATCATGCAATGCGGGCGGAAAATCAGGCAGGTAGTGTCAAATGGGAGCCAAGTTGAGCAACAACCCGACACCAAGAGTGATGATGCAGAATATTGAGTTAGATTTCCTCTGTGGGTCTCCACACTGGATTCGAATACATTTGGATTTTGGAGGACATTGAGATCTCACATGAGCTTTAATGCATGGATGGATGATATTTATTGTAATATCATTCAACTCATTTGTGAGAGCAATTTGTATGACATGAGTACACTGTTACATTGACGTTTCATGCTAATTATACAAAGACATGTGATGAGAATTGACATATATTTTTGTATTGTTGGTATGAAACGTCACCGTAGCAGCGTGCTTATACTATACAAGTCCTTCTCCACTCCAACCAGGCACTTCTTTTGAGTTTCTTTTTTGCACTTTCAATCTTGCTTTTGTTCTCTTTATCCAAATGTCTTTTCCTTTTTCTTGCTGGTTTCTTTTTGTTTATCCAAATTTTATTCCTTTTTTCATGTCCTCAAAATGTGTTATGCCATATCTCATCTAACCATTGTGAATTTTTCAGCTAGTAGAAACAAAGATGTGCACAGAACAATGTGAGGTTAAAAGGAATACTGGTTTGTTTTTTACGATTAAGTTGTTATTCTTTCTTACCTATAAATGACATATTTGATGAAATGACTTTTTACAAACATATAGAGAGTAGGGTTTTTATCACAAATGGTTCTTGAAATTGACTCATCTCATCAAAATGATCATTGAAATTGAAAATCAATCAATGTAATCCTTGAAAATTGGTGTCGCAAATCAATGTGATCATTCCATTACAATTCCGTAAAAAATTATGTTATGTGCTGATGTGGCACGTAACTGAGTTCCACAAATATAATTCAATATTGCTATGTGGACTTAAAATATTTAAATAATTAAAAACTTAAAAAAAAGGAAAAAAAAAAGAAGATGACTGTTCATCATCTTCTTCTTCTCATGAGTAATCACAGGAGCAGACTTGTCGTTTGCGCCTCTGCGAGAACGGCCTTCGAGGTCGACCAAGCTCCAACTTCCGCCACTTCGTCCAATCTTTTGCCTTTTAGGGTTGGGTACGGGTTCGACCGGCACAGGTTGGAGCCCAGGTACCCTCTGATCATCGACGACATCGACTTACTTATGACAGAGGTTGGGATGCGCATTCCGACGGTAATTCCTCCATTAATTTGCTTTTTCTTCCCGTAATTTCACAATTTCTAATTTATTTTATTACATTTTCGATTTAATGTTTGAATTTTGTATTTGAATTTTGGGGATGTGTTGCTTCATTGTGTGGTGGGTGCAATATTAGGGGCTTTGGGCTTCTGGATATCATGCATATAGTTCCTGATTCGGAGCTAAAGTGGAGGGGTGCAGCTTCCTGGGGTGGGAGAAGAAGATGACTGTTTTTTTTTTTTTTTTTTGTTTTTGTTTTTGTTTTTTTAATTATCCAAAAATAAAAATTGTTTTTTTTATTATTATTTTAAAGTATTTCTAATCCACATGACAATATTAATTAGTCTTGTGGGATCTATTTATGTGCTACATCAGCATATAACATAATTTTTTATGGAATTGTGACGAAAAGATCACATTGATTTTCGACACGTATTTTCAGGATTACATTGATCGATTTTCAATTTTAGGAACCATCTTGATGAGTTGAGTCAATTTAAAAAACTGTTTGTGATAAAAACCCTAGAAAGTATATATGTACACGTGTTATAATGTAATTTATCTCACAGAAGAAGCTGAATTTTTTGCGGCCAAAATGAGTTTAAAACCAAAATTTGAGTGGATCTACAATATGAATCCTCTTCCATTGTACACGTTCTCAAAATGATTTTGAAAATTATCGATACTCTGCCCTTGGGCTTGGGTTAAAGTTTGAAGGCCTGTCTAGTTGGAATATTAATGGGCTAAACTGGTGGTCCATTTCCTTTGAAACCATACCCAAACCTTATTCAGTGATGAACAGCATTTGTCCATTCTCAAGGGTCAAGTCTCTGCCTTTTCACATTGTTAATCTAAGAGTTGTTAAGGTTTTTCATAGTAGTTTATGTGAATTTGATCACAATATATGAAAATCAGATCGTATGCGTTTGATTCCTATAACATTGTTTTTGTCATGTGAAAGTTTAGTAATTCTAAAAGCTATATATTCTACAAGAATTAAACTCAAAATTTTTTACTTGCTGAGAAAGGCCTAAGCATTATAAAGGTTAAATTGGATTAATGGTCCCTGTGGTGGTAGGTTAATCCGATGATAACCCCGTGGTAAAAAAATTTGGATTTAAGCCCTCATGGTGAAGCTTCAGTAGGATTCAAACCCAAAATTAACATTGACATCAACTTCCATTAACATTTCCACCTTGATTCTTTGGTTCTGCCTCTCCCCACCTGGTTCTTTGCATCCCATCTCTCTCTCTCTCTCTCTCTCATTTTCTCTCCAGACTTTCAACCTGGAGCAAACCAATGGATATTTATCTGCATCCCAGCACCCAAATCATAGAGTCATAGCTATAGTTATGGAACATATGAGTTAATTAACTAATCATTTTCAGCTCCAAAATAAAAGAAATCAAGAAATCGGAGTCGTGAGGGCATAGAACAGAAGACAAAGAAACTAATCGTAGCGAAGTTGCCAAGGCAGCGATATACAACAAGATTACAGATTTATCCATAGATGACGAACAACAATAACCAGTCGAAGCGACGAACACGAGAAAGGAGGGGAAAAGAAGAGTAAGAGAAGAGAATACATAGGTGAGAGAAGGGTAAAATTGAAAAAAATGAAAACCAAGAAAAGGGCATGAGTATTTATGGTTGGATTTATCCAATATAAATCAACCTTTAAGTGGTCTACTACATGTAATAGAAATGTAATATTGGAGAAATAATGTTGATTGTGATTTGATCTCTTAAAGATATTAATCCTATATCATGTGTCTTATATTGGAAATAGGATTGATGGAATCCTTAATTGACTATAATTATGATTAGGGGTGGGTTCAAAAAACCGAAAACCGAAAAAAACCGAAAACCAAACCGAACCGAGGCCGAAAAAAACCGAACCGAAAAAACACTGAACCGAAACTGTCAAACCGAACCGAACCGAATCTAACTGGTTCGGTTTCGGTTTTTGAGGTTCGGAAACCGAACCAAACCGAACCGAACCGATATATATATTTAATTTTTTTTTAAATATTATAAATAGTTTAGTCATGCAATCATAACAAAACATACCTTGTTGCTAAGTTGGTTTCGGTGAACCTTTTCAAGCCCCAAGGCACGGGTTCGATCCTCCAGGATGTCTGAGATGTTTTTTTATTTTTTGGAGAACTTAACAAAACCCTTTAACCCTTTAACCCTAGCAACCATACCCATACCTTTTATTTTTTTTCATTCCCTTCCTCTCTCTCGTTCCCAGCCTCCTCTCCTCCAGTGTAACCCCAACCCAGCGCAGCCGAGCCTCCTCTCTCTCGCCGAGCCTCCTCTCCTCCAGATGTCCGATCGATGCCGGTGCGCAAGGACGACGAGGTCCACATCGAGCGGATCACCCGAGAGAAGGTGAACGGGTCCACCGTCAATGTCGGCATCAACCCCTCCAAGGTCGTCATCACCAAGCTCCGCCTCGACAAGGACCGCAAGTCTCTGCTGGACCGCAAGGCCAAGGGCCGCGCCGTCGCTGACAAGGACAAAGGCACCAAGTTCACCGCAGAGGATATCATGCAAAACGTCGATTGATTTCGATCGATTTCATTTGGGTTCGTGTTTTTGTTATTGAAATGAAATTAGCGACTGTCAAGTTAAGCACTTTAGTTTTGATTATGCTTTAATGGATTTGGCGTTTAATCTAATCTTCGATTTGAGAAAAAAAAAAAATTTGGTTCTGCACTGTGATGCTTGCTTGTTCTGCACTCTCGCCATGTCTGCACTGGTGATTAAATTCTGGATGAAGCATTTACATTTTTCGGGATGCTGGATGAAGCAATGAAGTAGCTGTTAATTGTTCTTTACAACCCAATGCCAAAAAGTACAGCAGTATGCAAACATAAGTTCATAACAGAAGGTGGAGTTTAGAAGTACTGAATCATATCACTTGTCTCAGATGTTTGTTTAGGTTACTGGACCTGTTTTTTTCTGTTTGTTTCTCGGGAAAATTTGCAGGCCCACCTGGTTTCATTTCTCTGGTTGTTGGATTTGCAAGGTAAAGTTTTCTGGGTTTTTACTTTGTTGCTCCAAAAGGGTCTTAGAAAGTCTAATTCTTTGAAACATTTATGTGGGTTTTGTTCAGTTGGTGGGTTGTAAATCTCTTATGGATAACATCTAAATTTTCATTTTTTGGAGGAAAAAAAAAAAAAACCGAAAAAAAACCGAAACCGAACCGAAAAAACCGAACCGAAAAAAAAACCGAACCGAAAAAAACCGAAAAAAATATGGGCCGAACCGAACCGAACCGAAATTTCGGTTTGGTTTCGGTTTTGGCAAAAAACCGAACCGAAAAGAACCGAACCCAGCCCTAATTATGATACTTAACTTAGAGGCTAAGAAAGTAAGTTTAGGTTTCCTATATGGATGGAAACCCTATCTTTTAGCCTATATATATAAACACCGGTCCCTATAAGCCCTAGAAACACAATACAATGCTTCCCATATAGTAGTTGTATTCGGCTAGGAGTTTATAGAAGATCTTGGTGTTGCCATGCTCTGCTACTTTTGGTTTCAACTTCCATGGCCATCATTGAAATCAGGTCAGTTACTCATTCATTTGTGTTTTAATTGTATAACCTAATAAGGCTAACAGTTGGTATCAGAGCCTCTGGTTATATAATTAAAACCTATTAAGTTCGACAATACATAGAGTTGTTTTACAAAATACATAAACTGAATTTTGGTCTTAAATTCAAGTGTGATTCCATATCCTTGGCGTACTAATATGATATGTTCAGCTATATTCTATGATCAGTTCCTTTTGATCCTAAATTCAAGTGTTAGTTAAATATTAAAAAAATCACAGATAGAGGTCGGTTAAAGAGCACAGGCCGACGGGGCTTACGATTGTGTTGTTCATGGTATCAAGATTATTTCTCACTAATTAATCTTATGGCACGAATTTGAATTTTTTTTATCAGAAATAGCTATAAACCGTGTTTCAATCCTATAATCATATTGAAATTTGGAGAAGCATATATATATATATATATATATATATATATATATATATATATATATATATATATATACATTTGTATATCGTGCTAATATGTAAATATTTTGCAGTGGGATCCAACACATGGATTGAAGTATAAAATTTATATGGTGATGATTGCTTCGAATTCCAACAGTTTTCCAGATTATACCTATTATAATTACATATAATATATGGTCAGATTGATGGCATTTTTATGCAGGCCCTTTTGCATATAATTTGTTTTAGTTGAACTACCAAAGTCTGGAAGTTGCTAGTAATTTGATCAAGCAAGCACATGTAATTTTTAAAAGCCAATATATATGATTAGTCAAATTTGATTACCACCAATAGTTCTAATAAGGGAATGATAAAGAAAATTTGATTAGTCAATTCATTGGATTAACTAGGATTGAAAAGCATGGAATATTTCAGAGTTTTTATTTCAATTTTAATGCTAATATTTTGGTTGACCATATACTGCTTATGCATAAGTTGAAGCCATGAGGTTGGGGTTCCTCTTTACACAGCCAGCGGCTGCGGCCTATCGCGGCACCGCCTCAAGGGTTTCAAGGCGGGCTCTATTATGTTGGATTCATGAAATGTTATATTGTTCTCGCAAAATCCAACCATGTCATGACATCTTTCTGATTGTAGGAGACGGAATGTCATATCTAGGGATGGGCAACGGTTATGGTGGGCGGGTAACCACGGTTATTTATCAATAACCGTTTATTCTCAAACCCGCATAACCGTTTACCCGTTGGGTAATTGTCTAAACGGTTATACCCATACCCATAGCCGTTTATAAACGGTTAATCATACTTATAACCGTGTACCCATTTAACCGTAACCATTTAGTACCCGTTTACCCATTTATCATTTTTAAACCCGTTTATCCTTTCTTTTTTACCATTTACTCATTTTTCACCCGTCTACGTGTTTTTTAACAACTTGAAAATTAAAAAAAAAAAATTTGTCATAATTTTGTTTATCTAACAATTAAACACCGTTATAGGTACATTCATCATACATTTCTGCATTTTAATTTTTTAAGTCCATATACCATTCAAATAATTGAAATAATAGATTACAGACGATATTTTTAACTGTTAGCAATGAAGGTAATATAAAATTTGCTAAGTATTCTTGGGTTACGAAAACTGTTAAAGACAATATTCTTGGGTTATTTGACTCGGAATGTAAAGTATTAACATAATATATATAATGGACCATGAAATTTAAAGTGGTTAGGAAAAACTATATTATATTAGCTATAGAAATCATGCACTATAGTCAATAGCATTGATTTAAGTTTTGTCCGATAGGGAACATGGTTTGTGTTAATTTTACATATATAAAATAAATGGGTAAATGGTTACCCGTTTATAACCGCGGTTAATACCCATAACCGCCCATTTAAATTTCGCGGGTAAATGGTTATACTCATAACCGTTTATTTATCTAAACGGTTACCCATAATCGTAACAGTGAAATTTATATGGGTGGGTAACCGCCGTTACCCATAACCGATGGGTATTTGTCCATCCCTAGTCATATCCTATAATTTATCAATACTATTGGGATATGTTGTGCCTACCTATGATTGTGAGAACATATGTTAAAGTTGTGTTGCAGGAATGCATGCATATGCTAAGTTTATATATGTCTATATTTGAAAGCAGGTCAATATAAATTTTGGCAACTTTTGTTATTGCATCTAGAGCATCACGGATATGGCTGTTTGTTTCAAGGATGTGTAAGGTGACACAATTTCTTCTAATTTTTCCGTGAACATGGCATATGATAAATTGTAACTAATTTGCTTGAACCAATTTTTCATGAGATGTGGATAAAATTGTATGCCATTAACAGTGTAAGAAACCTACATGCCTAATCAATCGGGTTTTCTATAATTTGCTTTCCTATCTCAATAGTCATTTAAATTATACATGACTAGTTAACTATGAAAAATTGATGTATAATTTGTGGATTGGCTGAGAATGACAGAAAGTATCCAGTGACAAGAACAAGGGTAATATACAAATGAATAAGGTTTGTAGTAATTATGTGACAATACTCATTTGTATTTTTATCTATTCTTATATGAGAACTTTGGTTGGTCATGTGATTATATATATGTTTACAAAGAAGTGGTGAACATATGAAGGCATGAGGTATGTAATCCATTCAAAGTATGTGGCTTAATTGATAAGCATGAATTTTCAAACATGTATTATTGTTTGTGATTTTTCCTATGCCTAAAGAATTTAAACAGTGCTTTGATTAGTAAATTTTTATGTGTCATAAGGGGAGAAGAAAAGAAACTTTTCAAGGCTAATGTAGGGCATATATTGGAGATGTTTTCTATGGAAGAAAATAATTTTGGTTGTTCCTTCTATTTAATTTGGTATTTACAAAGCTAATGCATGATTTTAATGCTATGTTTAGTAGTTTTGTACTACGGAAAGGAATATATAAAAAGGAAAGGAACATGTTTAACTTAAGAAAACATTTGAGCAATTTAGCTTTTAAGTAATTGACTCCATAATGATAAGTATTGACATTCATGTGGTGGAATGAAACTTGTTCTATATGTGATTAATCTCTTTCAAGTATGCTGTCAGGTTTATTGAGATTAATTTAATGTCAAAGGGAATCATGAAGGAATTAGTGCCATTTGTTGGCAAGACTCGAAGCTCGAATCAGGTTATAATAATTTTGTCACTTACATTTAATTAATCCATGTGACTTCTTGTATTGTTTCAGGGCAGAGTTGATCAATGTCTTGTCAACTAAGCAAGCCATAGCCACTTATTTGATGCTGGGACTATGGTTTTTAAGTTATTGATCAACATTGCATCTTAATTAGAATAAAAGCGATAATCTTCAGCCCCCAAGTGTGGATTGTTTCTTTTAGTTTAATTATGATGGCATGGTATGGGTTTTATTTCATAAGAGTAGTGAAAGCTTCATCTGCCCATAGGTGTTGAAGTTTTTCATGAAGGTACTCTTGAGACATAAAATCTAGTACTAGAAACTAGTTAATTTTCTGCCTATAGGTGTAAATTAACCTAGTTTCATGAAGTTTATTGGGGATAAAGTTCCATGCCATCAGTTGCAAATATTTCCACTATGAGCCCCATAATAGGTTGTGGTTTTAAGGCATGGAAATCAGTTGCATCATGACGTATTTTGTGTCTCTTCATGAGACTTCTTGATACAAAGTATTGGACCCATGAATGTTAATCAAGGATTGCTAAGGTACGCATTGTTTAAATCTTATGCTTGTAAATCTTTTCAATTTGAACTATGATGTCGGTTTAGAGGATGAAATTTGACTACTAAAGTTTCCTTTGGACATTGAAATTGAAATGATATGAAATTGAGTTTGTTATGGATGCATAAAATCATGATAGATGCACATAATTGGTTCCAGCAGATTATGTCACTTGATTTAAATCAGGTGAACGACACATCTAATGGTCACAATGATCTGAATTTTGGATATGTTCAACATATAGATGTCTACTATATGTCTGCAAAGTTTGGTAAT